ATTTGTGCGTATTCAACTTAAAACATCTAAATTTGTCCACCAACAAACATGCAAATCATAGAAATTTCTAATTTAACGACTCCGCCGCCGTTGGATTGCCATTCGCTGGATTTCCCCAGAGCTCCGCCCACTTTAAAAATAGTGCTAGCATTGTGGCCATAGAAATAGATAGATAACCTAGAATGCTGATTCGCCCATCTCTCTGGAGAGAAGATGTAGACGGCGCAGCGGGATGCCTAGTCGAAGTCACACCAATCGATGTTACGACCCGCCCAGGGTCACGACTGCTACGAGTTTTATAACGATCACCAGCCGCACACGCCGGCCGGCGCGTGACACAATTTAACGTGTTACATTTTTCGTTACATTATGTGTACATTACGAGTTACATTTTGCGTGTGTGTGTGTGCGTGTGTGCGTGCGCGTGTGTGAGCGCGCGTGTGTGTGTGGAGGCATGTGCATGCGTGCCAGCGAGAGAAATGTGATCTTCGCTGGCAGTGTTGGGTGGGTACATGCTGTATCTATAGAGGGTTCCGCGAATTTTCAAATTACCCACAATGCAATGCCGCCGGCCATCTTGTATCTTGTATCTTGGGGTCCCTCTCTTGTATTTCACAAGGCACTGCATGATTCTCACTTTGGAATGTGCAGGGAAATCCTGTAGATAAGGAAATTCTGTCTACAAGTTAGCATGAATTATTTTACTTTCTCTAATTGATAATGCCTTTCTAACATATTCTAGTGCTGGTTTTAGTATTTTCGGGTCATCACTTTTCCAATCATCTACTCGTTCCCCTTTATTATACCCGCCATATACCTTACATGAATATAAATGTTCCAAATTTTTTTTTCCCTTTCGTCACACAAATCACATATATCGATCATTACTGTAGTTATTTTTAAAATAACTTTTTAAGTTTATCATGCAAGTCTTACACCTAAACACAAAGCATGCATCATCAAACGACAATTTTGTCATGTATGGCGGGGGAACCAAATTATTTTCGTGATCGCCAAAATTTTGACGTGCGATACTCTGCCTTCCAGACGAGACCAAAAGGAAAGGGACTGACGCCGGACCAGGTTAAGAAGCGCTGTTTCGGTGAGTACAAGTGCCCAGAGTGCAAGCGGAAGTGGATGTCGGCAAACAGCTGGGCCAACATGGGACAGAAATGCATCAAGTGCAACATCAACGTCCACCCACACAAACAGGTAGGACTCCCGGCTCCCCTGCCGCCACCGCTTCCATGCAGCTATAGTTTGTCAGGAGTAGAAATTAACTTTTGAACACGGGAGTCCAACGGACTCCCTACACTCAAAAAGAGGGAGTCGACAGCAAAATAAGGGAGTCCGCAGTCTGAGGTTCAAAAAATTAAAGATATTAACAATAACGCATGTGCTTACTTTTAAGATTCATGCGGTTGTACGTCTGCCAAATTTTCTTTGGACATTAGCTAAAAAAAACAACGGTAATTCCGCGAGGCCGTGCTCCGGAACGAACTAGTTAGGATGGCAGAATTTTCAGGGAGTCAAACTGCATATGTCAAATCAGGGAGTATTTGACTCCGGACTCGCGTTATTTTCGCACCCTGGTTTGTGGAAGCAGAAAACGTCCTTAGAAATGTTCTCGCGTCGGACTGCAACCCACAGGGCATCACATATTGCTTGCAACCCACCTGCACTTCATTAATTAATATCTTTTGGTTGATGAGGTCATGCTACTACTATGCAGACTCGACTATGTTATTTACTATATTTGCGGCTTCACACGGCCGAAAAACGATTAATAACCGATAAATAAATGACGTCGCGTCTGCTTGCAGCGCCCCATGGAGAAGCCGGACGGCCTCGACAAGTCTGACCCAAACAAGGAGCATCCCCAACACCTGTGCGAGAAATGCAAGGCGCTCGGATACTCCTGCGTCCGCGCCCACTAGCGGTGGCATTCAACAACAGGGGGCTAGATTTTCGTTTCGTTCCCTGCCGTGTTGTGCATGATGCACGCAATCTGATGCATGATGGGAATTGGCTAGGAGCAACTCTTGAGCCAAACTGCATGCAGTGCCCCTTCCCACACTCAGGATAATACCACTGCCACAATGCTAGCACTATTTTTAAAGTGGGCGGAGCTCTGGGGAAAGGGGCCGTCGGGGGGGGGGGGGATGACTTTGAGCTGTTTACTAAAAATAGCTATGACGCTATCTGCTAACGTTAAACGACCCGTGTCGCTAAGTTCTATACTAGGTTAAATAATTCGATATCTACGTCATTACACAGTCGATACAGCACTGCGTGTAAGCAGTGTCAGCAGGTAATACAATTTTTGTGCTATGGTACATCTCTCATTCTATGGTTCTATGCCGGTATATAATTTATAGTAACATTATTTATTATTGACTAAAATATTGTAAATGTGTGCATGTAACTGGTCCAACATACATAAAAAAGTACATATACTCATAATTTCTATTTGTGTTCAGTGTAGATCAGTGGACATATGTACCACTTCATCACAGAAAAGGTTAAATTACGCCATCTCAACGATTGCGAGACAAACCTCACCAACACTGGGTGTACATTATATATGTGTATAGTCAACTGTGTAATGAAGGAAAGTCGGTCGTAATTAATAAAACAAACTTAAACCGCACGTCATAAAGAAGGTGATTAAGTGATTAAGCGTTAAGCCGCGCATTATTTCAGGGACAGCAAGGTATATTAGCAAAAGGCAAACTAGGCTTATATGTAGAACGAGCCTCGTCAAAAAGCGATTACTCGGCAGTTACGGGTACGCGCGCAGGCACGTAGAACGGTCAGCGTGACCGGTACGCTCACGCTCAGGCACGTAGAACCGCATAGAACAAAATAGGCACCCCGTCCCCCTCTTGTTGGGATTGGCGACAGTGATCAGCTATGACCAAGGCGCGACATACTTCTGAAACTAATTAACCTACACTGTCAAAACACGTGGCTCTAGTAAAACCACGTGGTCAGTGAATGAAAGTGTCAATGACACTGTAGCTCACCACAAAAAAGGACACAAATGAGTGAGTGAGAAGAAGTCAGTTTTA